TTGGGGCGTTTAGTTACGGAGTAGGGAGCGGCCTTAGGGCTTTCTTCCGAAGCGGAGGTTCCCACGTCTTGAGGGGTCGAGGGGGAGTTTAGGGTCTGCAGGTGTCTATGTTGCGGGTACTTTGCGAGCTCAGGTCTTGAGGCCTATTTCCAATCGAGGTGTTGTGGGAAGGCAGGGTTTTGGGAATCCTCCTGAAAAGATGTCTTTCTCGAACTGCTAGGGGAAGAGGGGGGGTTTGGATTCAAGGGGCGATTAAGGCTCAGATCAGTGCATGGTAGATTCATGGTTAATTCCCCGAATCAGAAAGGTTTCTGTTGGGATCCTTCTTGTCGAGACTGCCGTGTCTCCTCGGATGTCGGAAACGGGACTCGATGTGCGAAAACTCCCCATGCGGCTCTGCGACGAGGTCCTGCCAAGCCCTTGTAAGGAACCGAGCGATTTAGGAGAAGCACAAGCAGCCCCTGCATGGTGTGAGGTGTGCGCAACCCGGAGGATGCCGGGATTGCACCACAAGTATCCTGTACTCCCGGGTGCCTCGTGTTCTTCAGTTGCAAAAGGTGACCAAAAGGGAACCATAAACGATGAGTTCGGCTCAGAAATTCAGCCAAGCCCCAAATAAGCCGGAAACGTGAACCCTAACCCCCCCCCGCCCAACCACAAAGCTCCCAAAGCCGGAGGCGCATCCCCGACTGAGGCAGGGGCCCTCATGTCTACATTGGCTGACGGATCTTGAGCCGCAGCAAGGCTGTGATGTCCCCCATTTTCTTAGGACTGTGGGTCTTGGGTTCAGGGTCGTGGCTTCAGTGCCCTGGGCCTGGGCTTGGACGACCCAAAGTGGACAAACCCAAGAATTCCAAGGCAAGCCCCCTGCGTACTCGGAAGTGCCGAAGCCGACAGCTTCCAAGTGCACAGTGCTGCAGACTCTGGGGTGATTCCGGGGCTTCGAGATACCGGAAACAGACTGGGAGAAGCCTTGCGCTCTGGGTGGGCATCAGGGCCGGGAATTTAAATTCAGCCGCCAGGCGGGTTCTGTGAAGTCAGGCTGTGCCTGCAAGAGCTGGGCTCTTCCATGAACTCCGAGCCCCGAACCGTAAGCCGCAAATGATGCAAGTCTCAAACCCTCCTCGTCCCAGCCCAAACCAAGAAGCAGCCTCGAAAGCCACCTCGGAAGCCTAAACCGTTTCAACCGTCCGAAGCCGAAAGCACTGGGTCCTCATCCGAATGCACTCTGAAACGTTCTGGGCTAAGCCCGACAAGCACCCGATCACACCCAGAAGGGCCCTCCCTAAACTCTAAAGGCCCTAAACCCATGCAAAAGGACCGAGACCGAAGGGCGCCGTTTTGCTGGCTGCAAGCGGCGCGTGCTCCCTCTCCGAGGCGAGGCTGGAAGAGTGAGAAGCTTTCCGGGGGCCCTAAGGCTGGGGAGTTTTAGGGGGTTTCTGGGGGCGTGTTGGGGTTTTTCTGTTCCTTGTGGCTGGAGTTGCTTTTTCGGTTTCGGGGGGTTTGAAGCTTCATGGGCTTATTTAGGGGTCTAGGGCCGAGCTTAAGCGGCTGAGGGTTGTCGAATCATCCTTCCAGCCTCACTGCGCTGCTTCAGCAACCTGGCCCGTGGGCTGTGTGGCTTGAAGGTTGCTGTTGTTGGTACAGGGTATGGGGGGTGGGATTCGCGATTTCTGGGTAGGGCTTAGGGAGGCTTGGGTTTGGCAGTTCGGGCTTTACAGTAGGGTTCGGACAGTTAAAGCGTAGGGTCCGGGAGGTGGGGGTCAGGAATGCTGATGAAGTTGGAGACGAACATGAACAAGGTAACTCGCATGAACAAGATGATGATGAAGAAGATGAAGAGGAATAAGGTGACTAACATGAAGAATATGACGATGACGATGATGATGACGGTGGCGATGATCATGACGACGATGATGATGGTCCTGATGACGATGATTCGGATGAGTCGATGGCTAGATGATCACTATACCTTTGCCATCTTTTCGTCAGAGAGGAATTATTACAACTGCTCCTAAAGTATTACTGCCAGTGTTCCAATGATTGCCGTGCCTGCTTAGATCCTTCAATGGTGCCACCTGCAACCGCCAAATGCCCCAGATTCAAGATTGAGCACTGACGGATCTGAGACCATAATTGAATTTGTCCAGCATCCTAGAAAGCTGGTGGCCCTATGGGTTTCGAGTTTCGTGGTCTCCTGACATCCATCAAGCAGATTCGTGTGAGGATTCTGGCCCCTCAAGGTTTAGAGGGGTTGTTTTGGGGTTTTAGGGTTTACAGGATAATTACCCCCACAGCAAGTTAAAGGCCCCCCCCCCCCCCGACTACGAGCCCTCAAGGCGCTGTACCGGCCCTCGGCCTGCCCTTGCCAAGCTCCAGCTCTTCGTGTGGGGTGGGGATGTTCGAGGTGAGGGTTTAGGAGGTGAGGGCAAGGGTTTTTAGGCGGTTTGGGGTTTAGGGTTTAGGCTTTTGTTTGTCAAGAGTCTCTGGGGCCTTTAGGGTTGAGGGTTTAGGACGTTGGCGGTTTGGGCCGAACCCCCTAGCCCGCAAAGACCAGCGGCGCCCAGAGCCCTACCTCCTGCGCTTGGAACACCGCCTGGCTCATCGAGGCCTGGAGAAAACGGCCGAAACACTGTGAATCCACGAGCCGAATCACGTGTCGCACTTCGTCTCAATTTGGGACTTGCATCCATTGCTCAAACTACATGCGGCGTTTTCGTCAGGACCTAAGGAATTATCCCTTTCTACGGCAATCTATTCCTCATGCAGGGCGATGAAAACCTCGTCAGTTTGCAAGCTGCAACATACTGCTTGT